CAGAAACATTATTCACTGACCTCTTAGTAGTTACACTCAGTTGGGCCTAAAGCCCTTGTTAATTTTCCATCTACTTTTCATATCATTTCTGACAACACAAATGAACTCTAAAATCAGGTCCTGGGTCTAGCAGTAGGGTGTGGATGGAGAAGATAAAGCTTTTGCTAAACAGATTATATAAGGTGTGATATCACACCGTCTGTGTTCTCTCTACAGGAAATGCACATGACTTCATACTTAGTGTGCACTTCACCATCATTAAAATCGCTAGCAGAACACACAACCATGAAAGAAGCGTTAGTAGGCGACTTTCCACTTTAATTTCATTTTTACAATGTTCATGGGCCAGTGTGTGTGCAAGCATGATGACCTCATGCTCAATGGAGTTGTTTACAGTGTGGAAAGTCAATCATTACACTTAACACTGGTGGGGGCTGTGGGGCAGGGAAACTTTGATGATGCATATTTAAGATTCTAATACATTTTATGTTCATTTCTCTGTTCTTCATCTCTTTGTCCTGAATTTCTTTCTCATATTTTCTTCTCTCTTCTGCTAGTTCCTCTTTGAAATACAGTTGCTGTTCCTAAAAAGGGAGACAAAATAATGACATGACATAGTGTCACATAAATTGTTGTGTAACTACAAACTAATTTGTACTTTAATTCTTTAACTTAATATCCCAATCAGATAAGGAGCTATCCAAGCTAGTCTCCTGTCTTAACTTCTATTATGTTACTTTGTCTTAAGGCTTTTGTGAAAGCTATGGGACACAGTTTGTCTCTTCACTGTCTTCAGAAGATGGTCACTGATGGAGTCCCTGAAATATTGTTGCAGAGTTCTCCTTTGGGATCCTTGATTCAAAAAGTAGCACAATAACTGTATGCAATAATCACATTTCTTTTCCCCCTACAACTTCCTCTTGTATAATGTGGATGGTCATCTCAGACAACTGCCAATGGGAGAATTTATCCATGATGCTAAGACGCAGGAGAATAGTTTGATCATGAAATTCAGTATAAGCCTGAAAAATTTTGGAGAGATTATTGAGGAAAGAAAATTGAGGCGATCAAGACTACAGTGTCCAGAGTGTACTTCTGGGTCAACACACGGAATCTTCAGATTTAGAATAAGCCCAGAGAAGAACAAGATAATAGCAGCAAGGACATTGATCCAGTGTCTTCGAGAAAACAGCTAGCCCTTCTACTCATCATGATGCCCACAGAGCTAACAACAGAGCTGGTAAGGTAAAGACAAAATCACTGCCAATTTTACTACACGGGAAATACACTCATCTTGTGCAATGTAATTTTTTCCTTGGAAAAAAGTAATAGTTTCTCTGTCATTAGTTGAGGATATAAATATGTAATATATAAAAATAATTTTGCACAGGGCCTCTGATTAATAGCTACTGTGTAAAGAATGACAATAATCCAGGCTCCATGGAGCATAGTGTTTGTTAAGCAGCCTTTAGCAACTGTAGATTTGTGGTGATAGAGACATGAAAGATATAAAACTGCAGTAAGTTTCCAGGACAGCTGGGGCTGCAGGGAGACCCTGTCTCAAAAAGACAAAAAACAAAACTAAAAACAAATAAAACTGTAGTATCTGGCTGAAATAGTCCTTTACCTGGACCAAGCATACTGATTTGTAGCCAGTGTCTTTTATCCCTGCCCATTGGATGAGAAAATTGGTATTACGTGGTGAATTACCTGAAGCTTAAGAGCCATGGCCCTGTCCTGTTCAGCCATCTGCTGAGCTCTGTCCTGCTCCATCTTTTCAATCAATTGTTGCACATGTTCCTGATAATTCCTGTCTTTATTTCCCAACATCAACTCATACTTCTCTTGCATTTCCTTCGACATCCTTGATATAGTCTCTGAATATTCAGCTTTCATATGATCCACTATGGAGGAAAGGGAAGGAAAAATATGTAGGATTGCAGGTTGTCTCCTCCCTGAGACCTATCTGTCGTGGTATTAATGGACGGATGGAGTTCTAAGGCACAAATTTACAAATTTTTTCTTTAAATGGACCTTACTGCTTCTGACATATTACATTACACTGAGACATGGGTTTTACTTGCTATTCTTGTTCTAAGGTGACCTGTATCTGAGGATAACCTCTAATTACTCACGGGCTCATTCATAGGGAGATGACTGAAGTTTCCTACATCTGCTTCTGTAGATGCCAGCTCTCCCTGAATTCAGTGTCCAAGTGCCAACTCATATGTCAGTTGTTAACTGTACCTCAACTGTACACTGAAACCATTGTGCTCTGACATTGGTGCCTTATAAGGGCATTTCTTTAAATGGAACCATACGTGGTCTATGGATCATTAGCACGAGCGATATTCAACTGTGACTAAAGAATTGACTAACTCTTCAGAACACACACATACCCTAAGTAAGAACATGGGGTTGAAGAATCTAACAGTATTGCATAGATGGAGGAGAAAAGTCTATTCTCAGAAGTTGGCTGATAGTTCCCTATCAAAATATGCATCTCAGTTACACAATTTATAGTATCTCCAGCAGAAAGTGTGGTTAATTTCAAATACAGGAACAAGTAAACGTCAAATGAATCATGAATAATACAGATAAGAATGAAATTTAAAACTTCACTTGGAAAGATGGTTTTGCAAGTGTTTCATTTTGCTAACTTATGGCTCAACAGGAGTACAAGTCTCCTGACTTCAAGTGTAGCACAGCAGCAGCTGAGAGATGTGCTACAGATACCATTAAACTTGTTCTCTGATGGGAGGGCATAACCAGGGAAACCCTTGTTCTGTGAATTAAATTTTCATTTGTTATTTTTCTGTATGTGTGTATGTGGTGGGGTGGGCAGTGTATGAACCCATCAGTTGAACTCGTCCCCAGGCTTCGCAGCAAGTGCTTTTACCCACTAAGTCATCTTACCAGCCCTGTTATAGGAATTTTTATGTTCTAGTAATCATGCAGAAGATAGTACTTGTTTCTTTGTGTCTCCTCTCCGCATTCCACATCTCTTCTTGAAGTTTTCTGCTCTCTTCTTGAAATCCTTCCTGGAGTAGTTGTTTCTGTTCCTAAGAGAAAAAAAGAGAATATTGACTTATAAAGAAAAAGTATAAAATTACAAAATTTATTACATGACTTTCAAATTAATTTATATTAAATTTCAATAATTCCTCAAGAGCCTTGACCTTTGCTTTTTATTTTGTCACCATGAGGCCAGAGGGTATGGCAAAAGACCATCAGATCCCCTGAAGCTGGAGTTACAGATGTTTGTGACCCTACTGGTGTAGGTTTTAGGGACTGAACCTGGGTCCTCTGTAAGAGTAGCCAGTGCTCTTAACCACTGAGCCATCTTTCCAGCCCCTTGGTGTCATTTTAAATGTGGAACATATGTTTTAAACTGGTATTGTTTTAATCTGAATATTTAAAAACTACAAATTGTTAAGCTTTAAATGACTTTTTTAAAAATAAAAGCAAGCCTGTAACAGACTTACACAATGCTTCTCTGTGAGGATCTATTGTTTGTGGATCTGTAGTTATTCAGAAAAATGAGTTTCACAGGACATTTTTTCTAAATGCAAATGACTTCCAATAACTAGAGATGCACCAGGGTTGCCACAGTAACCTTGAAGGGGCTGCTAGAAAATATGTGCTGGAAATTTTCTTATACAACATGATTCTCTAACCTCCACAGAGCAGTTTCAATTTCAAGTGATCTTCCTACCAATTCAGGACTCAGAAAGACAAGCCAACAGAATACCTGGAGTTTAAGAGCTAGTATCGTCTCTTGTTCTGCTTTTAACTGGGCCCTGTCATTCTCCATTTTCTCAGTCAACTGTTTCACATACTCCTGAAAACTCTTTTCTTTCTGTTCCATTAGTTTCTCATTCTCCTTTTGTGTTTCTTCTAACAATTTTGCAGCAGCCAGTGCAGATTCAGTTTTTTTACGTTCCACTGAGAAAGAGGAGGAAGAAGCGCTAAGTAGGTTTGCGGTGTGGACGCACTGAGTGTTCTTGTCCTCTACCAACTCATAGGATGAAGCCCTACTTACCATGCAATTATATTAGGTGGTGGGCCTTGCTGAGGTAATCAGATTTATATGGGATTATAAGAATGGAGCCCCCACTATGGGCTCAGCACTATTGTGAGAAGAAGAGACCAGACAGGTCTCTCCACCATGTGAAGATGCAGTGAGACGACAGCCAGGGTACAAGAGGCAGTGTTTTTGACCATCCTAGAATCCAGACTTTGGAATCCTGACCTTTAGAACTATGATAATTACATTAGTGCTATGTGTACCATCTGTCTATGGTATTCTGTTATAGCCATCAACACTGGAGGAGACAGTGGTGCATTCTTCCTCCTTATGCACTTTCTTATTGTCACTATTTGATGGAAAATTTCCTGGGGTCATTTTTCTCTTGGAGTGGCTGTACTATTAGTGACTTCATGCACACCAGCCAGGAAGGACCTCAGGAGTTACAACAAATTTTATGATTCCATAGATACCTTTTAATGTATTTTTTATTTTTATTGAATATTTGTTTATCTCACGCAGAAAATCATTTTTATACCCCCTTCCCCTTTGGCACCTTTCCATACCCCCCCGCCACTGGAGTTCATACCTTCTGACGTTTGTGTTAAGGCCTATCATTTAAAGTTACCGAACCCAGATGTCCTGCAGTACAAGTTCATCCACTGGGATCTAGTCAGTCTATCTAGAGTCCTTCCCTTTAAGAAGATCAGCTCATTCTCACTGAGCAGTAGTCAGCTACCAGTAATTCTTAGACTCAGATTGGGCCCTGCTATTCATTTCCATAGTTCTGTGCTGGGCTTTTTTTTTTGCTTAAGTTTGCACGGGTCTTGTGTACGCTGACATTGCTGCAGGTTTGCATGAGAAGACTCCTGGGAACCTGTAAGACTATGACCATATGGTCAAGCACCTCCTCCCTGGCTCTTGTCTCACTGAGCAGTAGTCAGCTACCAGTAATTCTTAGACTCAGATTGGGCCCTGCTATTCATTTCCATAGTTCTGTGCTGGGCTTTTTTTTTTGCTTAAGTTTGCACGGGTCTTGTGTACGCTGACATTGCTGCAGGTTTGCATGAGAAGACTCCTGGGAACCTGTAAGACTATGACCATATGGTCAAGCACCTCCTCCCTGGCTCTTACAATCATTCTGTCCCCTCTTCCACAATGGTCCCTGAGCCCTGGGTGGGCGGATTTTAATAGCAGGGTCCTGCCCAAGGACCCAAGCTCTGCAGACTCTTGTTCTCTGCAGTTTGGCCATTTGAGACTTTTTGCATTCCTGGCCTTCTGTCCCATGAGGGAGCTTCGTTGATGAGAATTAAATGATGCATTAGTGTTGTATTCATCCCCTGTTCTGTGTTCTATGAGCCTTAAGTGTGGAGGCTACAGCCTAGATGCACCACTTAGGCTTAGGCAATTCACAAACAATCTCTGTATATGACCAGTTGTGTCTCTTGAAAAAGAAGCTTCTCTGAAGCCACTATTTGATGAGCATTTACATGAGACACAAGTATGTTCACATCCTTTGCCCATTTGAGGAGAAAAAAACAAGAAAAACAAGCTTCTTAGATGGGTGGTGACTGGGATACTTGTCTATAGATTTAAGGACACATATT